ATTATTTGCTATTTTGGTCCCGGGAGCCAAAATTTCTTTTCCTAGTCCTGAAAAGCATGCATTTTAGGAACAGTAAGCAAGATTGGAGAACACTTGGAGGCAACAGTCGGCAGTGGAAGGCAGAACAAAACTATACAAAAGAAGCAGAGTCAGAAATACAGAAGAGAACTGTTGCTGTACAAAAGTACAGTAGTGACACCGAAACACACATCAGATGAAGAACTGAATAAACATGGAGAGCACAGTAGAAAAATCTACTTTCTTCTCTCTCTTTATCTCTGCTTTTTCGCATATCAGTCTTGCAAATTAGTCACATGCGAAACTCGAGCTGAAACTATCTACAAATGAATGTAGTCTCAGCTTAAAGCGGAAGCGTAATGCTGTTTCGACAAGGGTATAGTAAATCACTGGAACGAGATGGCCGATCGAAAAGCATACCAGTTTGTATATTGTATTCGTATATACCATAATAAGCATCGGCGACATACAACAAATCGTCGTTGGAGGGATGAAATCGCATTCCCATTGGTCGTCCACAGATGGGAAAACTCGCATAACTTCCATCGCATATGTCCGTATTGAAAGATGACGGTGTCGGCAGTCTTGTTTCTTTCACGCGCATATCCCTCTATACATTGTTACTCACTGATAAGTATGCGAATATATCCGAAATGAGTCCAATAAGCTTTGGACGTAACGCGCTGCATAGGCATAATACTAAGATCAGCAGGCGGAAATATGCCAGGAACTGAGGCGGAAATTCAGCAGCGAGTTGCAGCCAGGAGAAAAAATTCCTAATCCTCCACCGAGTTACAAAACTAAAGCTACGTAGTAAAATTTAGCCTTAGCTTACCCCCCACCCCACTTCCCCGTATTCTGTGTTTACAGTTCTGAAGCGGACTAAATACTGAACAGAATAATTTCAAGATGGACAATATTTGCTGGACACGCCTTTACCAGTGAAGTTGATGTGAAGATAACCGCAGCTGCTCATAATCCTGGTAATCGTCCTGTTTTACACGAATACTAAGAAGAGTGTGGGATTTACTGTTTCTAGCGCTCCTTTACTCCCGCTGTGCTCGCCAAAATGCATACTTTTCATGCGCGGCTAGCGAAAGTATTTCTCTACACTGCCGATTGACAGCGCTCTTTCTTGAAACTTAAGCTCCGAACTGAATAAAGTGCCAATTTTCGCTTACTTCGCTGCTATCGTTAATTTCAAATCTGGCGACAATCCCGTTCAAGAGGCCTGTGTAGACTATGTTGCTGTTGTAACGCACTGCCATTGATTCAGGTCCAATAAATTGATTGGGAAGCACGATTTCTGCCTTTTCTAATTCATTGTTTGGCTCCAATACTCCAACAAGCTTCGGCGGCATTGGCAATCTACGCAGTAAAAAACATAAAAATATTTTGTGTTTGCTATTAATCACACTTTATGTGCTATCCCTTAAACACCTTTTTTTTTTTTCATTTGCGGCACGAGTGCTGAAAAAATTCGTCGCAAAATTCTAATTTTCAAAGATTTTTACAAAAGTGACCCAAACGACCGTGCCATTTCTTCAGAACCGCTCTGTTGAAGGCAATGACATACGAATACAAAACATGCTTGGAGCTTTTGGAGCTTTACCCGATAATGTTTCAAAATTGCTTAATCTGTTGTCATTTCCACACTACGGGGCGTTGTCTGAACGGGAATTTTTGGGAAAGTAGTTTTCTTTAACAGCGAATAAATCTGTTGATTAGTAAGAAAAAAAAGGTGAAATTCCTTTCAATTACTAACCTGAACGCAGTAGATCTGATCGGCCCTTTGCCCAAGTAAACTTTTATTACGGCAGACATGATGTACGTAAACATAATTATGAAAATGAATTGTCGGCAGCAGTACATCAGCGTCGAAAAAGACGGCAATAGCTCATATATTAGCAGTCCCCTAAACAAAGCCAATTCAGCTCTATTTTATATGATGCGACGAATAAAAACAGTCCAGCGCAGTGATGCTTTTGAGACTAACACCAGGTAAAATGGAAATGATGCACTTTTTTCTTTTTCC